AATATTAGACTTTTAGCTAGACACACAATCTGCTCCAAGAACACAGAACTACAGTTATGCTCCAAAGTAAGCTCACCCAATTACTCCAAACATATTCCATTCCAAAGTATTACTTCTCTCAAACTGTAATGGGATTACTTTACTTATCACTTCCAGGAAGAAGGAATCTCATAGTCCTCATTACTTTGCATATACGTTACTTTCCAACCTCAAAAAATCTGTACCACTATTAAATAGCTGATATCTCTCATCACTAAAAAAGGCATCTCACTTTCTGCTAAGCTAATTTCAGTACGAGAAAGTGAAATTAAAACACGATTAGCTGGCCGCTAGGTGGGAAAAAGGGCTACTGTTTAAGCGAGAAGAGTCTGACTGCAGAGCCACAGAGACGCAGATTTACACCCTCAGTTTCACTCCAGCAGAAAGCGTGAACAGTAGGAACAGTGCGATTGTGCCATGTAAACAAAGCCCTTATAGGAAAGTCAAGTGTTATGAGCGTTCCCATTCACATTTCAACCAGTGTTCAGTCTCCTCGTTTGTAACGTCTCTGGTGTAAACAGCGACTGTTTGTGCTGGTTGTATGTGTCACCATGTATATTACTGTTCAGGAAGGGATACTGTTACCAATATACAAATCAGCCACTGGTAGCCAGTTAAACTATAAGCCAAAACACTTTACATAACCATCAGAAACCAAAATAAACACTTTATGGTTTCTCTGTTTTTTTTCAGCAGGGATACGTTCAAAAACTGAAGTTTGTTTTAGCCTAAAGCTCAACATTATGCTCAGTTTAAGCCTGCTTAAGGTAAAGTTTAATTTCTGCACATATAATGTAAGTGTACACATAAAGCCTGTATTCAGGGTAAGTTAATAGAACTATATGTCTACATACCCCATCATCTCATCCAGGCCACGTGAGCTGTAGTTCATGTAATATTTACCCTGTGAATCTCTATATGCATTTTTGGCACATGTGCTGAATGTCACTGGCTTGAACCTGCTGTATTGAAACTGTGGCTCTGCAGCTCTGCAGACAGATATCTTTGGGGTTAAACAGGGAATGCAGTTATAAATTAAAAATTATTTAAAATTATTATTATCATTATACATTTATTTAAATAGCAAATAATGGGGCTACTCTCCCCATTCACGCCTGCATCGCTTAGTTTAATTAACTCTTCGTGTAACATTTTAAATAAAAAAGTTAAAAATAAATTGTTTTCTGATTGATATATGTAAAGTATTTGATAAATACTTTACATCTACAAATATAAACTTCAGAGTTTTAAAGTTAGCTATGCTGGGTGTGCTTCTTTCTTTCATTTCCCGCAGCTCGCTCTCAGCTAATGCTGGCTTAACATGCTCAATTGGCCGAAAAAGAGCTGACAAGGAGCCACTAGCCTTAGCCTTAGCTTACTTAATGCTGTGAAGCCAGTGCTCCAGTCTTCTTCTATTGGACAAATGGCGGTTGGCAGTCTAATGTAGGGTACGTTACCATCACCTACTGAGGGCTAGCTCAAACTGCCTCTTCAATGCCGGCTCAGAGCAAAAAAGATTTTAGTCTAAAGTCCTAGTCAGTTAAAAGTTTGAGATGTGTTTTTGGCTCTGACTTTGAACCAATTGGGTAGAATGATCCATATATTTCTGGGGTGATATATAGAGCATCTTGCATTTAAAGGGCCCATATCATGGAAAACTAAATTCTCCTAACTTTCTTTTAAATAAAAGTTTTAAAATGTATCATTCACTCCCGAAGTCTATAAAGTCCATATATGTGAACTAAGCTGCAAAAACAACCCATTTTAAATTAAATTGACTGTTTTCTACATGAGGCACAATACAGGGCAGCCAGTCAGAACAGAGGTCATTTGCATTTATCAGTCTTAGAGGCACAGTAACTAAAACAGCCTGTTTAATTCTAAAGGATAAGGAAAGGATGGAAAATGATCATGTAAAAATTAATTCTGAATTGAGTTGTGAGGGATGATTAGGCAGAGGCAGGGTATCATATTTAGTTTCCACTACAAAATACACAAATTAAAATAGGGCTAAAAATCACGTAATGTTTGTTCAGGTTAAGATAAGCAGAAGAGAGAGGGAATGAGAGAGAGAGAGAGAGAGACAGAGAGAGAGATTGATGGATGTAGTTTCAGTGGACAGTATGCATAGTGTGTCTTGTGTCACCGAGGGCTGGGTGTACTGTACCACATCCATGTTTTGCCTCCAAGCCTGGCTTTGCTCTAAGAGCAGAGAGGACCACCATTATTAATCACTCATCCCGACTCACTCAGAGAGCTGCTGCTACATCCCACTGATCCAGCTCAGCCTCCCAGCAAGGCCCTCCATAGGACTCCAGCGGGCACAGTGGGACACTAGCTTGACCTCTTCAGCTCGAGCTATAGCTCTTCTCTTGTCTGATGATGTTATTTCATCACTGCTGTAAGAAAACCTTTTATTTCTGAAAATGTGTCTTTATAAGAGAAAGAAATCGCTTTGAACTAAACATCTGTTACTGTAAATTAAAAAGAAACTGAACATTTACATATCAGAATTTATATCAGTCCGTTCATCAGGAAATATTCACATCATTTAAAAGGCAGCTGGCATTTTGTAATAAGGTAAAAAAAACCAATCAAAAACAAAAACAAAAACAAATCTCTCTCTGTTTCTCTCTTCCCACTCCCTGCTTCTCTCTCTCTCTCTCTCTCTCTCTCTCTCTCTCTCACTTTTGTTTTTTTCTGTCTACTCCTTGTCTCCCTTTTCTCTCTATCTCCCTATCTCACTCTGTGCTTTTTTTCTTTGTTTTTCCTGTCTCTCTCTTTCTCCTTCTCTCACTATGTCTTCTAGTCTCATCTCTCTCCTCTGTCTCTCTCCCTCACTCTCTCTCTCTCTCAGTCTTTTCCTCTCACTCTGTCTTTCACCCTCTCTCACTCTTTCTCTTTTCTCTCTGTATACTCCTTATCTCCCCTTCTCTCTCTCTCTCTCTCTCTCCTCTCTCTCTCTCTCGCTCTCTCTTTCAGTCTTTTCCTCTCACTCTCTCATCCTCTCTCACTCTTTCTCCATCTTTTCTCTGTCTAATTCTTTGTCTACGCTTCTTTTTCTCTCGGTCTCTCTCTCCCTTTCTCTACCTCTGTCTCTCTCACACTTTTCTTTCCTGTCTCACTTTGTCTCTCTCTTCTCTCTCCTGACCTCTCTCTTTCTATCTGTCTTTCTGTCTCTTTCTTTGTCTGTCTTTTTCTGTCTCTGTCTGTCTTTTTCTGCCTCTATCTCTCTTTCTCTCTCACTTTCTCTTCCAATCTCACTTTCCAGCTCTCTTCTTTCTCCCTGCTCCACCTCACTGTCTCTCTCTTCCATTCTCTCTTCCTATCTCACTTTGTCTCTATTTTTTCTTGTCTGACCTCTATCTCTGTCTCTCTGTCTGTCTGTCTGGCTGTGTGTCACTGGTTAGCTGACAGCAGTTCAGTCACAGTGTGCTGTGCTGTCCGTACGGCGGTCCACTCCAGTGCCTGCTGTTGAGTAAACGCTGCTGAGGCAGTGAGCGCAGGTTATGTACTTGCTGTTTATGTGCTTCTGGAAAAGTGTGGGTTAGGAGAGGCCTGGAGTGGCCGGTGAGGCAGGAGATGAAATGGAGTACGCTCATAAGTGTGTTTATGGTGAGATGAAGTATACATCAGAGAGGACTGTGATTTCTGACTGTTGTTTTGCACTCAGTATGCTAATGTAAGGGCGTAGAGCCTCTTTCAATTTCATTTCTTATTTCTCATTCTTTCCAGGTGCCTGATCCCCAGACACTGTGGCTTTGAAAGAGCATTACGTTCTAGAATCTCTTTTTCATTGTTTAGTAAATGCACTGTCTGCTGCTCCCTTCGTCTGCTCTCTGTCTCTCTTTCTATCTCTCTTATGGTACACATCAACTTGCACTGTTTTGTCTTGCTGTGTTTTGCTGCGCCATGACTCCGTGCCATAGGCCAGTTTCTTATTTGTTAACTTTAAGCAAGTAACCTATGAGCTCTGTATGGTTCATATTGTGCCTTCCTGCTCAAACTAAAACTTTGCTTAGTCGAATGTCCTCCCTTAAAATGTCACTCTCAAATGTCTTACTGTCAACAGTTCTATATAACATTATTATGTTAAACCTCTAGATCTGTACTCAACTGCATAAAGTTGGAATCTGCTAAACAATTTGTGTCGCTGCACTGCAAACCATCATGCATCACTGATTATGGCAGAGCTCTACATTGAAGTAAACAGAACGCAGCAGGGCGATTTGCACCGTAAAAAAAAATAGATGTAATTAATGGAAAATAACTTTTTAAATTTTAAAACACCATTTTTTCACAGTGTGGATGCATACCATCTCTGTCTTTCTTTCTCTGGGCCTGGGTTCGGGCAACCAGGGTCCTTTCTATGTGGAGTTTGTTCTCCCCGTGTTTGCATGGGTTTCCTCGCACAGTCCAAAGACTGGGATAGGCTCTAGCTCCACCCTGTGACCCAGAAGGATAAGCGGTTTAGAAGTGGTTTAGAATGTGTGTGTGTGTGTGTGTGTGTGTGTGTGTGTGTGTGTGTGTGTGTCCTTGTTCACATTCAGCTTATCATATCACACCGTTTAGAGAGATTCTTGTAATTCCTGTAATCTTTCATTAAAATGTAATGGGGTGGCACAAGCCCCCACAGAAATTTGATTGGCTAACCATGGGTGCCCCACCACGGAAAAATTGTGATGAAATTTTGACCTTTGCTTACAATTCATTCATCATGAAATGTTCACACCATGTTAAAGTATGTAAAAAATAAATAATAAAAAATGAAAAATAATGTTAGATTTTCATAGGAAAAATACATAAACTATAATATTTTGACAAAATATTGATTGTATATTCTCATTCATCTGCCAGCCAAAGGAGTGCTTTGCATTTCCCCTGAGAACATTTTTCTGAGAGTTCATCAAATTCTCTCTCTCTTTCTCCCTCTCCTCTTCTTTCTCTCTCTCTCTCCACAGCTGCAGTCCTTCCTGCAGGTGAACGTTACGCAGGTGCATATAGATGAGTGTGCAGCTGCAGACTGCGGGGGAGGGGGCGGCTGCACTACCCGTCTGAGTGTGAGTGACCGGCCCACGGTCGTGGACTCGGGCAGCATGGCCTTAGTGTCAGTGACCCTGGAGGCCACCGCTGTGTGCAGCTGCGCCGCCAGAGAGCATCTCCACCAGGGATGCTCCACCTACCCCTGGAACCCCTGCCACAACGGAGGAGTGTGTATGGACACCCAGAGCGGATACAGGTCAGGAAGCAACATGTGTGTGTGTGTGTGTGTGTTTTTGGGCTTGAGCAATGAAATGATAATGATGAGCATCAAATGTTTTTGTGCATTGAGATATTTTCAAGAAAATTATTATGCACTTCTTCAGCTTGTGATTAAGGCTTGAAGCTCTAAAAGTTGACTGTAGTAAGCGATGTTCACAGAAGAAGAAGTGTATACAAGTGGCAGCTTGTGGATCTTACACTTTACTGCATTAGACAGTCCCACTCAGAAAAGCAAATATTTGTCATTTTTCATCCATACAAAAATGATTCACATCTATGATATTGTGTATCATATAAATGAATTTTAAGTTGTGAGAAGTTGCACAAACAGGTTTCCTGTCTTGAAGCAACACTATGTGACAGTGGAATTAATTTAGCCAGTAGCAAGTAAGGTTTCACTTAAGCAGCAACATCAGAGAACATTGCAGTTATTGTTAATTTTTTTATTTACACTTTTCTTTATTTAGAATCAGTTCTAACTTTTAAGTTTCAACAGTTTTAGACAGTAGAGGCCCAGTCAGTTACATCATGTAGCAGTCAACATCCAATGTGTTTTCGTAGGATCATTCATATTGTTTAAAACATAAAGGGCAATTCCCATTATTTAAAAATTACTTGATTCTTTTTTATGTTTTAGCACAGTTTTAACTTTGTGGTTCCAAATGATCATTTGGTCAAAACATTACTCCAAACGGTTTATCGTATAAACATGGCTTCTTCAAAAATCTTTTTTCAATCAATACAGTGTTACTCAGTTTTGTTCCAAATAGATAACAATCCAGTTACTTTTGTAGTGCTCTGTATCATTTCTTTCCATTATTGCAAAATGTTGCCTCAAGGCTACATATCCATCCATTTATTTATTTATTTATTTATTTGGTTATCAGGGCCCATTTGTTCACACTCAAACTTTGTTTAAACATTGCTCTTCTAATGTGTGCGATTTATAGCTATGTTTGAATATCATACCATTTTTTATCATTACGCTTCAAATTACTATTCTGACTTAAAGTGAGGTCTTAAGGAAATACATATCAGTATTTATCAATACAGAAAACATATTGACAGATTTTTTGGCCATGTTGCCCTGCCCTTTGTATTTTATATGTATGCTTGTGAGTATATGTTTGAATGATTACAGGTTTTTAGCAAACACAGATGAGTATTTTCAAACTCTCTTTTTTTGCTTATTTTGTTTGTTTGTTTCTCTGCTCGTATCTAGAGGCACATTAGGTCCCTGGCTTTGTATGTGCTGTGGATTAAGAGAATTTATGCATGAAGTTTTAAATAAAGAAGGAGTCCTTGAGAAACTCGCCTGAAGGACTGCTTGAGGAGTCTCAGTGCGGTTTCAGCTCTGGTCTGCTGTAAGGCCTGGAGACAGAGGCCATAGTTCTGCTGGAGCGCTGCTCACGGTCTGTCATCAGCCATGCATCAGGTTTCTCCACTATTTAAGGAAACGGCTAAAGCGAACACGTTAGCATCACATTAAGTCTCCAGTCAGTGTGATGAAACAGCCTGAAACCGTTAGCTAGGCCCGTTCTCTTCTATCTCCCTTTCCCCACACAAACGGCCTCTTTGAAGGCACCAAATGAATCAAGATCAAGTGAACTTTCCAGATGGGTCCGAGCCACTATTTGTAAGGCTAATCTTCTCGCCACCGAGAGTTCTCACAAATATGAGGGACGACGGAGCTTTTCTTCTGCTTGCTAGTCAATTATCCAGCCCTGGCACGACTATTGATTTTCCTCACGTAATAACAATACAAGGGGATGGAGGGGAGCCGTGGGCTGATAAAACTCTGTGATTGCTGGGAGCAGAGGGTGTATTTTTTAGCAGGTATGAAAGCTTAGCGGTCAGTGAGTTAATAACTAACCCTCCAGTGTGGAATCTTCTCTGGGGCTCGCTCACAATCGGAGGCTGAGACACGGTCCACACTTTTAATTTTTTTTCATTAGAAGCGGCTCTGGGACGGCTTTCTGCGGAGAAAGATGTTAGATTCCGCTGTAGGCCCACAACAGGTTAGAGCTATTGGCTGGTGTAATGTAATTGATCCCATTCACTTATGTGGGAAGTATTTTAAGTGCGAGTGGGACGAGATGCTCAGCAAGCATTATTATTTCAGTGAGTGTTACAGAGAGGATGGAATGCATATGGAGTAAAGAGCAGCTTTTTGTGTGCTGTAATGATGTGAGACGGTTACAGATGCCATTTAAGAGGAGAGTTTCTGCTCCTGTGGAATTGTTAGAAATGCAGAGCAACACATCATCAATATCCACTAGCGGCTTCCAGGGGGCTTGATTAAAATAAACTGCCACAAGTTTGAATCATGTGTATTATATCAGTAGTACATTTACTTTAATCAACACTTCCCCAGTGTGTATCATCTTAAGAAATGGGCTTCAGTAACAGTTAGCCTGAAAAGACCTTGAACTGTAACTTCATGAGTCAAAGTTAGGACAATGTAAACAATAAGCAGGGTTTTTTTTGTATTAATTTGTTTTAGCAGCACCACAGAGCTTTCTGCTTGTACATCTTAAAACAATAGCTAGTTAGCACAGCTGATAGACAGTTATGATGATATTGTAACTGAGCAACAAGAAGCAGCAGTCTATTTCTGCTGGGCCCCTAGTGGCCATTCTACCAGCTGAAAGGAACTTGCCTTGGGTATTTTTTATTAATATAATCAAATAAGTTCTAATTTAATTTCTAAACTGTTTATATCGCTGTTGTCTAAACAAAACCTTCAATACGCTAACTTTACAGGAGAAGGGAAAAACAAACTTTACTTTTAATGTGAGTCAACAGAACCAGACTTTTTTCCAAGTAATTTTGGGCCGTTTCTTTTGGTCCATTCATCATGAAATTTACACACAATGTAAAGGGCAACAGGCATTTTCATTATGTCAAAAACTGAAAAGCGGCAAAAATGCAGATAGCAGGTTTTGTACCAACAGCAGCAATATATGTAAAATACGATATATGCAAAATATATGTAAAATATATCTTAAATTATGTGCAACTGGCATATACTAAATAATACATACACACATTAAAAATATCTTTTTACAAATGTTGACTTGCTTATCTACAAAGACAAAAATTCAATTGGTTCTTCTGGTTTTGTACGCATTTCTAATGAAATATATTGTAGAATTGGTAGAAGAAGAAACACAAAGGTAGCTATGTTTCTTTTTTTATCGAATATACTCGCAAAAACAGGCACATACTGAACATCTAAACCGAATGGGAGGTCACCAATAGCCATGCACTTCACCCTGACGGTGACCAATTCCCAACACACAAAATCCCCAATTTAACCCACATCCCAACACATAATTACACAATAAACACATACACACAACTTAAACTGACAACGACCAACATAAAACAACACAATTAGTCTATTTGTCAGAGGCCACATGCTACCATGAGCCTCTGCATGTGGCCATGGGCCTAGCCACACCTCTGGAGTCTCATGGTGCCAGCGCCAGCCAGTAGCAGGATGCTACAATAGTTACTGAAGAAAAATTCAACTCAGTTTAACTGAGGGACCTCCTAGTCAGAAGAAATAGTATTTTATTGCTACTATGAAAGACTGGTATAAAAATAGTCTGTGCCATTTGCCTCTTATATTTCAGAATTTTTTAAAATAAATGCATTGTAACCCCCCTCCATTGTAAGAGTATAGGAAAAAAAATCTGCACTATGTGACATTTTTGCTAAAATTGAGAGTTTTACTGAACATTACAGGGTCAGAAGAAAAAAAAGCTAAATATAGCATACAAGTGCTGCTGCGAGTCACCCTGTGAAGTCTGAAATAGTAATTTAAGTCATAGATGTCATATCATATGTTTTTGTGTGTTAACGTCACACGCACAGGCTCAAAAAGAAGGTCTGGCTCTCAATGTTTTAGTCTCAAATGCAAAATCAGTATTATACTGATGCAGATATGGTAACAATAGTATATAATTCACTTACATCCTTGAAAGTCCTTTACCAAGTTTTGATTGAGTTCCTTTAACAACATGTTCACAAACATCCTGAAAAATTCAGATGAGGAGAAAGGCAGCTGATGTTTTCAACAGTTAGAAAAAGTAGTTTTGATATGGCATTGACGATATTCATGCATTTTCATGCTCTGTTGTGAAAGAGAAGGCAGTGGTGTTCCCAGGTCTCATCTGATTGATTACTCAGTTGATCACACAATCTAAAAAAAAGGTCACCACTGGAATGCCAATGAAGGGAAAGTCTTTCTCCATATTCATCAGCAATCTGGATCTGTTGTTGTACTGCATATTGCTCTTTTTTCCCCCATCTGCTCATATGGTTGTTTCTAAAAGATATGCAAAACGGCGTGTCTCCCAATCCCATTCCAGCATATGTCATCAGCTCTGCGTTTTAATCACCTCTAAAAACGGGTAGAAGTTAATTTAGTTCTCAGTAGTTTAATTAAAGGGAGCGAGTAAAGCCGTGGATTTTGGAATCGCTGGACGTAGTAAGCGTGTAATGGGGCTCGCTAGTGGTGCGGTCCACAGCGCTTTGTGTTGCGAACGCAGCGCTAATCCAAGCTTTCAGCCATTTCTCGACATACACTGTCTTGTTGAGGATGAATTTAAATTACTTTTCTGGGGCCACACACGCACAGAGCGCAAGTCATTTCTGTGTCAGGAAGAACTTACACAATGTCTCAGCAAGGTGCAGTTCAAATCCTGTACCAGTGATTTCTAACACATTGGCTGTAATTGAAAAATTGAAAGTACGATGACAGTCACTCTTGTTTAGCTCTGGCTCTCTGAGGTTGTTTGTGAAGCCTTGTGGAGCTCGTGGCAGCACATGCTGAAATTGCATGATTTGCTCATTAAATCCATTATCAGGGATTTGTAATGCCGCTATTGTTTACGTCAACCTTATGGCGTTTTCCCAAGTGGTGGAGCTTTTACTTTTATTATTACTTTCCAAACACCCCAGACTGCTACA